GGAAAAGAAGGGGAGGATAAGAAGTCAGACAAGAAAAGGCCGGCCCTGACGATCAGAGATGAAAAGGAAACCAAGTATAAGAAACCCATGGTCAACCAAAATGAAAGGGCATCTCGCTATAAGAACACGGAGAGGTATACAAATTGCACTCCTTTAAATATGCCGATAGATCAAGTTTTCTTACAGGTCCAAGATGAACCATATCTGAAGTGGCCACCGAAGTTGAAGTCAGATCCGGCAAGGAGACCTCGTGATAAGTATTGCAGGTTCCATAAAGACCATGGGCACGCTACAGAGGATTGCTTCGACCTTAAAGATCAAATTGAGACTCTGATCCGAAGGGGGCACATGCGAAAATTTATTGTGGGGAATGACAGAACCGACATTAACCCATTAAGAGCAGGCCGAGATAACCACCCTCCTGATCAACAACCAATAGGAGAGATCAGGGTCATAGCCGGGGGGTGTGCAGGAGGTGGAGAATCGAGCTTAGCCCGTAAGGCCTATGCAAGGAGAATGCGAAGCTCATCTGAGGTGTGCGAAGTGGGAGTACAGATTCAACATCGAAAGATGCCTCGTTTAGGTGATCCAGTTATTACATTCTCAGATGAAGACATGAAAGATGTGCAGCAACCTCATGACGACCCTCTTGTCGTCACTATGATGATCGCTAACTATAATACTCGGCGAATCTTGGTAGATAATGGAAGTTCAGCTGATATCATTTTTCTTGATGCATTCAGCAAGATGAAGATTGGTAAGGAGAAACTCAGACCTACCAGATCACCATTGGTGGGATTCACGGGAGACAAAGTCTATCCTCTAGGAGCAGTCATCCTTCTGGTCACTGCAGGAACCAGCCCAAAACAAGTCACTGTCATGGTCGACTTCCTGGTGGTGGATTGTCCATCTGCTTACAATGCCATCCTAGGAAGAGCGACCTTAAATTCGATGAGGGCTATCACTTCGACTTATCACCTATTAATGCGCTTCCCTACCGAGCATGGCGTGGGCGAACTAAGAGGAGATCAGTCCATTGCCAGAGAATGCTACGCTGCCTCTCTCAAGGAAAAGAGACAGCAGGAGGCTTTGATTGTCGATGAAGTTGAAGAGAATGAGCAAGACCGGGCTAAGCCAATCGAGGACTTGGTGGAGATATGCTTGAATGACACTGACATAACAAAAAAGGTGAAGATAGGGTCTCTGCTCCCCTCAGATTTCACAAATATTCTTATACAGTTCCTCAAACAGAATCAAGATGTATTCGCTTGGTCACATGAAGACATGCCCGGTATTAATCCAACTACGATTGAGCATCGATTAAACACAGATCCTACATTCAAACCTATCAGGCAAAAGCGAAGAACATTTGCCGCGGGAAGGAACATGGCTATATCAGAAGAGGTGAATAAGCTTATGAACATTGATTTTATCCAGGAGGTTCATTATCCCGACTGGTTGGCCAATGTTGTTTTGGTAAAAAAGGCCAATGGAAAATGGAGGTTGTGTGTAGACTTTACGGATTTAAATAAGGCGTGCCCCAAAGACAGTTTCCCTCTGCCAAGAATTGATATGTTAGTAGAAGGGACAGCTGGCCATGAGCTGCTCAGTTTTATGGATGCATACTCAGGGTATAACCAAATCTCAATGCACACGCCAGACAGAGATAAAACCTCTTTTATCACGGACAGAGGTTTATATTGTTATAAGGTGATGCCTTTTGGGCTAAAAAATGCTGGTGCAACATATCAGCGGCTAGTAAACCTGATGTTTAAGGACCAAATCGGAAGGAATATGGAAGTGTATGTGGATGATATACTGGTAAAAAGCTTGAAAGCTCAAGACCATCTGGTTGATCTACAGGAAATGTTCCAAGTCCTCAGGAAACACCAGATGAAGCTCAACCCAAGTAAATGTGCCTTCGTAGTCTCCTCTGGGAAATTCCTCGGTTACATGGTAAGTAGAAGAGGGATAGAAGCTAACCCTGAGAAGGTCCAGGCGATTCTCAACATGCAGTCTCCAACATCGACCAAGGAACTTCAAAGATTGACATGAAGGATCACAGCTCTGAACAGGTGATTTCCAAGGCGACCGATAGGTGTTTGCCTTTTTTCCGCGTGCTCAGGAAAGCTTTTTCATGGACCCCTGAGTGCGAGCAAGCTTTTACAGAGCTAAAGGAGTATCTCACTTCACCACCATTATTGTCGCGGGCGATGCAAGGAGAACAGTTGTATTTGTACTCGGCAGTTTCTCCGTCGGCAGTAAGCTCAGCCTTGGTCCGCGAAGAGGATGGAAACCAGAAACCGGTATATTATATTAGTCGTGCATTCAGGGGGGCGGAAGAAAGATACCCAAGGATAGAAAAGTTGGCACTTGCTCTAGTTATCTCCGCGAGGAAACTCAGGCCTTACTTCCAAGCTCATACAATAATAGTATTGACGGACCAACCACTTAGGCAGGTTCTCCGCAAACCTGATACTTCAGGGTGACTCATGAAGTGGTCGGTAGAACTTGGAGAGTTCGATATCCAATACAAACCCCGAACGGCCTTAAAAGCCTAGGTACTGGCAGATGTTATAGCGGAATTCACACCAGAAGATGGGCCCGAGCATGCTGCAGATAAGCAGGAAGAAGCCGAATCTACTTGGACGTTATATGTGGATGGGTCTATCAAAGCCCGTGCAAGTGGGGCAGGGCTAGTAATTATCTCCCCAAATGGGGAATGCATCAAATATGCACTCAGGTTTGGTTTTAAAGCAACCAACAATGAGGCAGAGTATGAAGCCCTTCTAGCAGGCCTCAGGATGGCGAAAGCTTTGGAAGTTGAACGACTAGTAGCATATACTGACTCTCAACTAATAACTGGACAAGTCCAGGGGGAATATGAAGCCAAGGATGAGAAGATGAAGACCTATTTACATAAGATAGAGGATATCAAGGGTTTTTTTAAGAAGTTTTCTATTCACTGGATTCCCCGAGAAGAGAATGCGCAGGCAGACGCCCTGGCTCGACTGGCAACCACAGAGGAAGATAAAGCCATACCCGTGGGATATTTGGATGAGCCTAGTACGGTCTGGGATTGGCCACAGAAAATACACTAGGTGGCCCATGGCATGGAGTGGGCAGAACCCATTATCAGGTACATTGAGAACGAAGAGCTACCCCAGGACCGCATGGAAGCACGATAGATTAGGATGCGTGCGGCAAAATATTCCCTCGTTGATGGGGTTCTCTACAAGAAGGGATTTTCTCTACCCTACTTGCGTTGTGTCTCTATTGATGAGGCAAATTACATTCTAAAGGACATACATGAAGGCCTTTGTGGAAATCATGCTGGGGGCAGATCACTAGCGCATAAAGCTATCCGACAAGGATACTTTTGGCCTACTATGAGGACAGATGTACTTGAGTTTGTGAAGAAATGTGACAAGTGTCAGAGATTCGCCAATGTCCCAAAACAACCAGCAGAAAAGTTAACCCCTCTTACAGGGCCGTGGCCTTTTGCCCAATGGGGGACAGACCTCATCGGCCCCTTACCCCAAGGGAAGGGACAAACTAAATATGTAATTGTGGCTATCGATTATTTCACCAAATGGGTAGAAGCTGAGCCATTAGCTCATATTGGAGCGAATGAAGTAAAAAAGTTTTTCTGGAAGACAATAATCTGCAGGTTCGGAGCACCAAGGGTAATTGTGACCGATAATGGGAAGCAGTTTGAAAGTGAGCAGTTCCTCGATTTTTGTAATGAACTTGGGATCAAAGTTTATTTCTCCTCTCCTGCCCATCCCCAAGCCAATGGGCAGGTTGAAGTCACGAATAGGACAATATTGAAGATGATCAAGACACGCCTAGAAAAGGCCAAGGGCTTATGGCCTGAACAACTACCCGGAGTTTTATGGGCCTATCGCACTACCGTAAGAACCCCTACTGGGGAGACCCCTTTTGGGTTAGCTTTTGGAAGTGAAGCTGTGATCCCGGTAGAAACAAAGGTTGCTACCTTCAGAACCAAGTATTTTGAACCTCAACAGAACGGAGTGGAACTACGATTAAACCTAGACCTGGTAGAAGAGAAAAGGGAGCAGGCCCAGGTCAAGGTTGCAGCTTACCAGCGGATGATATCCAAGTACTACAATGCCCGAGTCAAGCCAAGGAGGTTCGAGCCAGGAGACCTGGTGCTTCGTGAGGTTACCCCGGCTACTAAGGAAAAGGGGGAAGGAAAGTTAGCTCCCAATTGGGAGGGCCCTTATCGAGTAACCAAAAGCAACAGACCGGGGGCATACTGGTCAGAGTCACTTGGTGGGAACCAGCTTCCCCACCCGTGGAATGCAGAACATTTGAGGAAATATTACCAGTAGGTACTCATGCCAGGCTGTGTTTTATTTTATTATCTCACTTTTAAAAGTGATAGAATGTTTCTAGCTACAATAAAGCAGACCAGTGTGTAACGGATGCTAATATTCAACTATCGATTATTATTTTCGATAGGTCTTTAATAAAATGGTTATTCGTATTTATTGCACGTGTTTCTACTGAATTTTATAAGTCACATAAGGACTAGTGACACATTAAGTCCCCTTCTTTATTAAAAGAAATAAGTGACTTTTCCTTACTAAAGGGACGAGCTGGGTGAAGCTCGTAAAAATGTGTTCCTTCGAAAGAAGGACTGGCTGAGTGAAGCCTGGGAAAGTAAAATGAGTTCTGTATAAGGAAACAACAAGTATGGAACAATACCATGAAAGACAAAAGTAGAGCAACTATTCTCTGGATTCAAAGAAATTCTGAAAAGTTTTAAAGGAACAACATACTGAGAAATCAAAAAACCTAATATATATATATATATATATATATATATACATATATATGACTAATACTATGGAATTCAATCTTCCTCTTCGCTCTCACTTAGAACGTCATACCTAGAAAAGTCTATGTCTGGACGATCTTTGCCGACAAAAGCTTTGAACCGGTCAAAACCATCACAGCAAGCCTTACCTATGAGCACCTTGAATTCATCAGAATTTTTAAAACTCTCCACGGCAGCTAGCTTCTCGAATTCCAGCTTATCAGAGTATTCTTTGGTAAGTTTCACTTTCTCATCTTGAAAGTTTAATTTTGCATTAGTTAAGTCATCTTCTTTTATTTTAAGTGTAGAAGTAACATCCTCATATTTAGCCTTGAGGGAAGCCATCTCTAAGGAAAGCTTCTCGTATTCTTTGGCGATAACAACAGAGTATGTAGTGCCCTATAAATAAATAAATAGTGGCGAATAGTTAAAAATAAATAAATAAATAAATGAAAAAAAAGAGATGCGCATAATAAGGGTAAAATCTCACCTGACTGATTAGATGAAGAAATTTCTTTGAAAGCTCAGATGCTGGCAGACTCTGCAATCTGGCAGTGTCGTCTTTTACTACCATTTTATGTAACCTGTCATTCGCGACATTAGCGTCATCGAGAATCGATTCCCCGTGGGAAAAGGCTTGGTTGGTTGATACTGAACAAAAACTTTCAAAACTAGTAGGAACCCCACCAAATCCGCTGAAACCTAGAGGTACAAGAGTATGACCTGATAACACTCCAGGGCTTGCGGATGTACCATGATTCCCTTCTCCTACCCTTCGTAATTTTTTGGAAGCAGGAATAGAAGGGAGATTACTTGACCGGACTTGGGCTAGGAGTTTTTTACTGAGCTTCTTGCCTGCATAAAAAGTAATAAGGGAAATACTTAATGAGATATTAACTAAAAATCAATAAGTTCACATATAAGTATGTTCGTTTTTCTTACCTTTCTCTAAGTGGGTGGAGGTTTCCTTTGAGCTATGAGCTCGTACATACAAATCTAAAGCCTCGTCAGTTATGAGATCGCTAAAGGTCTTTACTGGGTAAGAAGAGGCATTACCAACATGCTCGGCTTCTGGAATGGAGAGGGTTGGTTTGTCCTTAAATCCTGGGAAAAAGATTAATAAGTTGCACCTAAAAAAAATTTCCTATTCATGAATAGTACCCGAGGGTACTATTCCCTTGGGTGCAAAAAAAAAAAAAAAAAAATTCCTATTCATGAACAGTACCCGAGGGTATATACATATAAATCTTACCTGTTGGATCTGAATTATTCCAAATAGTTGGAAATTTCCCGTATGCACCGGAAATAAAGAAGAAACGACTCTTCCAACCTTTATTATTTTCAGGGGTTGCAACAAGGAGGAATGTCTTCTTTGATCTACACTGGAAGTACCAAAAATTGTCTTTTTTCTTCTTGGGATAATAAAAATGCAGGAATTGATTTACTGTTAGACGGCCATTGCCACACTTTCCCCAAACAATCAAACAGCCTATAATAATTCTCCATGAATTAGGAGCAATTTGAGAAGGAGCTATCTTCAGATGAGAAAGAATTTCTTCTACAAATGGATGAATCGGAAAACGCAAGCCCGCAGCAAAAGTCGACTGGAAAAAACATACCTCACCCAAACGAATAGAAGAACATCTATCTTCTGGTTTGGGTTTGTGAAGACGAATAGATGAAGGAATGGAATATTTAACTCTACAACTCTGTAAATTCTCATCCTTCATTAAGGATTCTCTTTCACGAGGAGGTTGCTTGGAAAAAGCTGTAACACCCCCGTATTTTCCACGCATAAGTTGATCAGGCTTATACACGAAAAACGAGGGATATCAAAAACAATTGGCAATATACAAGCATGGAATACAAAATGATGATAATAAAAGAATTTAGACAGGAAAGGAACACTAAATAATACAACATCCATCCATCCTTTATTTAATACAGTACTCCATTACAATTTGGAAATCCTATGTCAAGGATCCCTAAATATAACCCTGAGAGTTCAACGTCAAAAGTAAATAAAAACTGAAACTGAAGTAATACATAAAACTTCTACCCTGAATTGGATCGTAAGAGTAGATGAGTTCGGATGGTGGTCCCTCACTGCTAACCTCAACCTTGGAACGGGTACTGACCGTATCCTGAAATAACAACAATGGTGGGTCAACCCCACGAGCAAGTCCTCTCTACTATGACCCAAATCAGAGAATCAAATAAATTAATCATTAAGAATCGGATGAGTACTATATCTGTATACATCCTAAGGGAACTATCCAATGTATAACATGACCTCAACCAGAATAGACGGTAATCACTTAGACTCACACTAGGTGGTTAAGTGTCGCATTTCCCTACCCGGGAAATCAGCTATTATACATGGTGCACGGTACTGACAACACAGACTGTAAAGACTACACAGTAGTAACACATCTCAATGTACTAATGAGGTACTGAGCATAACAATTAGGCAACACATGCCAATAATATTAAACCACATACCCCGACAGCCACACATCTGTCTATAGCAACGAATGCATAAGGTATAAATGAGTCTAAACTTATTAGCCAGCTCACATGGTTCTATATGGCAACTCATCCATATAATATAAATGTGACATAATTAAACAGTCCATTTATTTCCTGAAATGCACACAGTATAATAATCATGGTTGGTATATGATTAACAGTATAAATATCCCATAATATATATTGGATAATTTATATGACTAAAACATGGCATTATTTAATTTAACAGTAATGTTTGATACCATTTAATAAGATATTAACACTATTTATCTTTAACAATGTCATTAAATAAATCACATTAATATCCGCACCGTAAAAGAGCCAATAGATGCTTAGAAAAGATTAATTGGCCATAAGAATAATTAATGGGTATTAAAATAATAATTTCGTGGCCCGTTAAACCCGTAAATACCAACACAGTACATAAAAATCCAAGTTTAAGGTTCTGGAATTTACAAAACAGGCCCTAGGGGTATTCCGGTAATTTCCAGCAGCTGACAGGGCCCCTCACGCGCCCCCACGCGCCGCCCTAAGCTTCCCCACGCGCAGCCCAACCTTCCCCACTCTCCCACGCGCCTCCACGCGCGTCTGGCATCAGCCACGCGCGTCTGGCATCAGCCACGCGCGCGCACGCGCTCCCACGCGCGTCTGGAGAGTTCCACGCGCGCGTTGATGGCTTCCTGCTGACGTGGCGTCCTCCGGTTGGTTGGCTGCATTAGCTTTCCTACATGCGCGCCACACCGGATCATCTATCATCTCATCTCACCTAATCCAAGGGTCAATGATCCGGGTGTACCGCGGTAACATGGACCGCGATGCACCGGATCAATCAGCTTCATCTAAGGCCCAGGATGCGCGCGTGCACTAACCTACAATGCACCGCATCACACCGGATCACTCCAGTCATCTTCTTCGCTGCCGGTGGCCGGAAACCTCGCCGGAGGCTCGCCGGAAATTGCAGAAAAGCCCCGGAAAAATCTAGAAAAATCTAGAAAAATCCCTAAAGCCTTATTTAATTATTTTCAGCTATATTTTAATTACATAGGCTAATAAATAAATATCTAACCTCTTTAATAATTAAAAACACATTATTTTAATAAACTAAAAATAATTTATTGAAATTCCTAGCATGGTTTCTAGTCTCTAAAAACCCGAAATAAATTAAATGAATAATTTATGGATTCAAAGGGGAAAAGTAGATAATAACTTGCCTTTTTGGATTTAAAATAAATCCGCCGGTTGCGCGTAATCGGGTAAATTTCTCCTACACCGGTCCAAGCTCCTTTCTTTCTTTCTCTTCCTTTCCACACTTTTACAATGGCTTACTAAAATTTATAATTTGTTTCTAACTCCCTTTCCTTCCTTCTAAGGTAGGCTAGCTAATTTATATACAATTTATATAATATAAACATTACAAATATCTATTTTTGCATTTAATTAACCACATTCCCAACCATAAGGCTTTAAGGCTAGCAAGCCAAGTCAAGCAAGATGTCCTAAGGTAAATCCTATCCTAAGATTTAATTTCTTCATCATTACATTGATTTAATACTATTATTATTTATTATAAATATTATTATTATTTTTATTATTAATAAACTATTATAATTATTATTATTATAAATATTATTATTATATTATTATTATTATTATTATTAAATACAAATTAAATACTTTAATTAAATAATATTAATTAATCTAAAACATAATCAATAAAATGTCTAAACTAATCATTATAATATATAGAACAAAAAAAAAAATCAATATTACATGCACAAATAAATAAAATTAATTAAATAATTTAACATATATAATTAAAAGGTGAATAAATCTACATATTAAAGAATTAACCTAACACAAAATTAATTTAAATAAACTCTTTAAAATTACGGGGTATTACTTTCTCTCCCCCTAATAAAGGAATTTCGTCCCCGAAATTCACTACATACCTGTATTAAAAAACTCTGGATACTTGGCACGGATAATATCTTCCCGTTCCCAAGTAGACTCTGTAGCACTATGATAACTCCACTGTACACGTACTAATGGAATAGTCTTCGTGCGCAGTATCTGATTCCTACGATCGAGAATACAGTAAGGTTGTTCCAAATAGGTTGCATCGGGTTGCAACTCAATTCCACCCACATCAATGTGTTGATATCGATCTTCTTCCCGTAGAAATTTTCGCAGCATAGATACATGAAAAACATTATGTACCCTATAAAGATTATCTGGTAGAGCCAGACGATAAGCTACTGCCCTGATCCGATCTGTAATCATAAAAGGACCCACAAAACGAGGCGATAACTTACCCTTTGACCCAAACCGCATTACTCCCTTCATGGGAGAAACCTTAAGCAAAACCTGATCACCAACCTTAAACTCCAAAACACGAGTTCGACGGTCAGCATAACTTTTCTGTCTGCTTTGAGCTGTACGCATCCGATCCCTAATGATAGCGATCTTTTCTGACGTGTCCTTAATAAATTCAGGACCCAAAAAGCTGTTCTCACCAACTCCAAGCCAACAGACAGGAGACCGACACGGTCTGCCGTACAAAGCCTCAAATGGTGCCATACCAATAGTTTTCTGATAACTATTGTTATAAGCAAACTCTGAAAGCGGCAAATATTCCTCCCAATTGCCCTTAAAATCAAGAACACATACCCGCAACATGTCTTCTAAAATCTGATTAACTCGCTCAGTTTGTCCATCTGTTTGAGGATGATAAGCAGTGCTAAGATAAAGTTCTGTACCCAAAGCCTACTGAAAGCTCCTCCAAAATCCTGATACAAACTTCGGATCTCTATCTGATACGATGGACAATGGTACGCCATGAAGTTTCACCATTTCTGCAATATACAGCTTAGCATACTGTTCTGACGTAAGGTTTGACCGAACAGGCAGAAAATGAGTGGACTTGGTCAATCTATCAACAATGACCCAAATAGAGTTGTGATTATGCTGTGAAGTAGGTAATCCCTCTATGAAGTCCATGGAAATACTCTCCCATTTCCACTCTGGTATGGGAAGTGGCTGTAACGATCCTGGCGGTCTCTGATGATCAATCTTAATCATCTGACAGGTGCTATATTTAGAGACAAAGATAGCTATATCTCTTTTCATGCCGGCCCACCAAAACTGGCATTTCATGTCCTGATACATCTTGTCTCCCCCTGGATGTACCGAGAACTGAGAAGTGTGTGTCTCTCTCATCACAACATTTCTCAAATTGTCAGCTGAAGGCACAATTAAACGTCCCTTGTACCTCAATCCTCCATCAGTCCCTATAGAATAAAAAGGAACATCTCCGGAGGCTAACTCCGAAACCCGATCAATACACTGTTGATCTGAGAGTTGCGCTTGAATGACCTGATGAATGATAGAAGGAGTTACTACCATACATGCCATAAAAGCGTCTGCTAACTCATCAACAGTCTTCAACGCATCCCACTCTGTTGCAAACAAAGCTGAAAGGCTGACATAGGGTCGGCGGCTTAGTGCGTCTGCTACAACATTCGCTTTCCCTGGATGATACTGTATAGAGAAATGATAGTCTTTCACGAACTCCAACCAACTGCGCTGTCTCATATTCAATTCCCTCTGTGTGAACAAATACTGTAGACTTTTATGATCGCTAAACAATCGAAAAGTCTCCCCCAAAAGATAATGCCTCCAAATACGCAAGGCAAAAACCACTGCTGCGAGTTCTAGATCGTGAGTCGGGTAATTAAGCTCATGAGGCTTAAGCTTCCTAGACCCATAAGAAACTGGTCGCTCTTCTTGCATCAACACACAACCCAAACCCTTCAGAGAAGCGTCGGTAAATACTAAATACTCGATTCCACTCTGAGGTGTGGTTAAGACAGGTGCAAAAGTTAACTTACTCTTCAATTCAGCAAAAACAGTCTGACAAGAACCATCCCATACAAATGGTACATTCTTCTTAGTCAGATGAGTAAGTGGACCCGCAATTTTGGAAAATCCCTGGATGAACCTACGATAATACCCCGCCAATCCCAGAAAACTGCGAATCTCTGTCGGTGAGGTAGGCTGTCCCCACTCCATAACAGCCGCAACCTTGGCTGGATCTACTGCTAACCCTTCTTCTGACACTACATGTCCCAGAAATTTGACCTCTTTCTGCCAAAATTCACACTTCTCAAACTTCGCAAACAACTGATGTTCTCGAAGTATCTGCAATACTGTGCGTAAATGTCTGGCATGGTCCTTCTCCGCCTTAGAGTAAACCAGAATATCATCAATGAAAACAATGACAAACTGATCTAAGTATTCTCTGAATACTCTATTCATCAAGTCCATAAAGACAGCTGGAGCGTTCGTTAAACCGAAAGGCATAACACGAAACTCATAAGATCCGTACCTTGTGAGAAATGCTGTCTTTGGAACATCTTGTTCTCTGACTCGTAGTTGATGATAACCAGACCTCAAATCGATCTTTGAGAAGTAAGTAGCTCCCTTCAACTGATCAAACAGGTCATCAATTCTGGGCAACGGGTACTTGTTGCGAATAGTGACCTTGTTCAGTTCTCTGTAATCAATACAAAGACGAAGAGATCCATCCTTCTTCTTTACAAACAGTACTGGTGCTCCCCATGGTGAAGTACTCCTGCGAATAAATCCCTGGCTGAGCAACTGTTGAATTTGATCTTTCGACTCTCGCATCTCCACTGGTGCCATTCTGTACGGCGCCTTAGCAATAGGCGTAGTGCCTGGAGCTAAATCAATGACGAAGTCTATCTCTCGACTCGGTGGCAAGCCTGGAATCTCTTGGAAGACATCCTGGAATTCCTGTACTACCGGAATACTGTCAAGAGATACCGCAGTCGCTTCCTGTGAGTCCTCCTCAAGAATGAATAAATAAGTGCTAGGCCCTCTATCAGGTTGTGGTACAACAAGAAGATACATCTCCTGTCCTGGTATAGCAAATACAATAGACTTTTCGTAACAGTTAACCTGAGCATGGTACTGAGATAACCAGTCCATCCCAAGTATAACATCATACGAATGCATATCTCACACTAACAAATTTGCAAGAAATCGAAGCCGGCCCATATCTATATGGATATCACCGCTACACTCTCGTAAAATTGCGCCAACTCCCAATGGTGTATAAATGTTAAGAGGTTGGTCACATAACTGAGTCGTCATACCAGATAAGATAACAAAAGATCTAGACACAAAAGAATGTGATGCACCCGTGTCAAACAATATACGAGCAGTTCTACCATGTATAGAAAACATACCCTCAATAGCCTAAGGAGCCTGCGCATTATGTGGCATGAAGTTATAAACTCTGCCATGATGCAACTGCTGTGGAGGTTATCCTGGAGGAAATGGTGGTGCTGGAAGTGCCGGAAAATTCTGAACTTGCCCACGTGGCATCGGTGGGGCCGGTAGAGGTAACGGCTGATTAGGTCTCGGCTGCCCATACTGTCCCTGCTTAGCTTTGGGACACATTTTGGCCGGATGCCCAATCTCTCTACAGTGATAACAACGTCCCGTAAAAGGACCTGCCTGCCTTCTCTGTTGATTTCCCGACCACTGTTCCTGTCCGGTCTGAGGTACCCCACCTTGTCTACCCTGATTAGGGACTCCATCCCTCTGCACATATGGGTTTCCTTTGTTTTTCTTCCAAGGTTGATGTCCTTGAAATCTGCCCCGATCATTGGACTTGGTACCACTGCTGCTTCCTTTCTCCACTGTCTGGTAGTCTCGGTTAGCCCGCTTATCTCCCTTGGACTTTCGGTAATCACTCCTCATCTGGCAGTGCTGTAAGCGGCATTAACCACCTGGATATAAGTAGTATATGCAGGACTACCTATGATCACCACTTTAATCGGCCATATCAAACCCTTCACAAAGCGGTCTCTCTTCTTTTCTTCCGTATTGACCTCATCTGGTGCGAATAATGACAAATTAATGAACTTCTGTTCATACTCAGCCACAGTCATATCCTCCTGTTGCAGATCCAGAAATTCAGTCTTCATCGCTGATCTTACTGACATAGGAAAATACTTGTCGTCAAAGCGAGTCTAAAATTCAGCATAAGTCAATCTGGTCCTCTCTTCGACAGTAGTAATAGACTCCCACCACTGTAATGCATTGCCTATCAGCATAAACGTAGCTAGCATCTGTTTCTGCACTTCGGTACAGATTACCATCCGAAGATGACGCTCGCTTTCCTATTTCCACTGATATGCTAATAGGACATCTGTGGACCCTGCAAATGTTGGTGGATTTCCCCAGATGAACGAGTGACGAACTTTGTCCCATGACATTGGCTGTGCCACTGGTTCAGGAACAGGTACTATTGGAGGAGGTTGCTGGTTTCGTAGAGCAGATGCTACTCCTGCTGCTACAGCTCGTGCAATAATATCAGCAACTTGAGGGGAAAATTCCTGATTCTCATTTTGAGTTGGGGAAATACTGCGATGACGGTTCGCATTCCTTGTCCCACGCCGAGACATCCTTCTTTTAAATTCAGAAAAATCTAACGTCAGTACATTATAATGGACCGACTAAAAGAATACAAAGAACCCTAATACTTAGGCTCTAATTATCAGAATACACAACGCGGAAGTATAGTAATCACAGATCCCTAAGACACCCGAACCTGGAATGCTCTGATACCAACTGTAACACCCCCACATTTTCCACGCATAAGTTAATCAGGCTTATACACGAAAAACGAGGGATATCAAAAACAATTGGCAATATACAAGCATGGAATACAAAATGATGATAATAAAAGAATTTAGACAGGAAAGGAACACTAAATAATACAACATCCATCCATCCTTTATTTAATACAGTACTCCATTACAACTTGGAAATCCTATGTCAAGGATCCCTAAATATAACCCTGAGAGTTCAACGTCAAAAGTAAATAAAAACTGAAACTGAAGTAATACATAAAACTTCTACCCTGAACTGGATCGTAAGAGTAGATGAGTTCAGATGGTGGTCCCTCACTGCTAACCTCAACCTTGGAACGGGTACTGACCGCATCCTGAAATAACAACAATGGTGGGTCAACCCCACGAGCAAGTCCTCTCTACTATGACCCAAATCAGAGAATCAAATAAATTAATCATTAAGAATCGGATGAGTACTATATCTGTATACATCCTAAGGGAACTATCCAATGTATAACATGACCTCAACCAGAATAGACGGTGATCACTTAGACTCACACTAGGTGGTTAAGTGTCGCCTTTCCCTACCCGGGAAATCAGCTATTATACATGGTGCACGGTATTGACAACACAGACTGTAAAGACTACACAGTAGTAACACATCTCAATGTACTAATGAGGTACTGAGCATAACAATTAGGCAACACATGCCAATAATATTAAACCACATACCCCGACAGCCACACATCTGTCTATAGCAACGAATGCATAAGGTATAAATGAGTCTAAACTTATTAGCCAGCTCACATGGTTCTATATGGCAACTCATCCATATAATATAAATGTGACATAATTAAACAGTCCATTTATTTCCTGAAATGCACACAGCATAATAATCATGGTTGGTATATGATTAATAGTATAAATATCCCATAATATATATTGGATAATTTATATGACTAAAACATGGCATTATTTAATTTAACAGTAATGTTTGATACCATTTAATAAGATATTAACACTATTTATCTTTAACAATGTCATTAAATAAATCACATTAATATCCGTACCGTAAACGAGCCAATAGATGCTTAGAAAAGATTAATTGGCCATAAGAATAATTAACGGGTATTAAAATAATAATTTCGTGGCCCGTTAAACCCGTAAATACCAACACATTACATAAAAATCCAAGTTTAAGGTTCTGGAATTTACAAAACAGGCCCTAGGGGTATTCTGGTAATTTCCAGCAGCTGACAAGGCCCCTCACGCGCCCCCACGCGCCGCCCTAAGCTTCCCCACGCGCAGCCTAACCTTCCCCACTCTCTCACGCTCCTCCACGCGCGTCTGGCATCAGCCACGCGCGCGCACGCGCTCCCACGCGCGTCTGGAGAGTTCCACGCGCGCGTTGATGGCTTCCTGCTGACGTGACGTCCTCCGGTTGGTTGGCTGCATCAGCTTTCCTACATGCGCGCCACACCGGATCATCTATCATCTCATCTCACCTAATCCAAGGGTCAATGATCCGGGTGTACCGCGGTAACATGGACCGCGATGCACCGGATCAATCAGCTTCATCTAAGGCCCAGGATGCGCGCGCGCACTAACCTACAATGCGCCGCATCACACCGGATCACTCCGGTCATCTTCTTCACTGCTGGTGGCCGGAAACCTCGCCGGAGGCTCGCCGGAAATTGCAGAAAAGCCCCGAAAAAATCTAGAAAATTCTAGAAAAATCCCTAAAGCCTTATTTAATTATTTTCAGCTATATTTTAATTACATAGGCTAATAAATAAATATCTAACCTCTTTAATAATTAAAAACACATTATTTTAATAAACTAAAAATAATTTATTGAAATTCCTAGCATGGTTTCTAGTCTCTAAAAACCCGAAATAAATTAAATGAATAATTTATGGATTCAAAGGGGAAAAGTAGATAATAACTTGCCTTTTTGGATTTAAAATAAATCCGCCGGTTGCGCGTAATCGGGTAAATTTCTCCTACACCGGTCCAAGCTCTTTTCTTTCTTTCTCTTCCTTTCCACACTTTTACAATGGCTTACTAAAATTTATAATTTGTTTCTAACTCCCTTTCCTTCCTTCTAAGGTAGGCTAGCTAATTTATATACAATTTATATAATATAAATATTACAAATATCTATTTTTGCATTTAATTAACCACATTCCCAACCATAAGGCTTTAAGGCTAGCAAGCCAAGTCAAGCAAGATGTCCTAAGGTAAATCCTATCCTAAGATTTAATTTCTTCATCATTACATTGATTTAATACTATTATTATTTATTATAAATATTATTATTATTTTTATTATTAATAAACTATTATAATTATTATAATTATAAATATTATTATTATATTATTATTATTATTAAATACAAATTAAATACTTTAATTAAATAATATTAATTAATCTAAAACATAACCAATAAAATGTCTAAACTAATCATTATAATATATAGAACAAAAAAAAAAATCAATATTACATGCACAAATAAATAAAATTAATTAAATAATTTAACATATATAATTAAAAGGTGAATAAATCTACACATTAAAGAATTAACCTAACACAAAATTAATTTAAATAAACTCTTTAAAATTACGGGGTATTACAAAAGCAGTCCTTGGTCTTGAGGAGTAATCAACACCAGATTCATTAGCATAGTCAGGACCGAGTTCTTCAACACTTTCAGAGGTTGAGTCCTTGGATTGAGATTCAGTATTCAAGTTATTTTTCTGCACGAACATGATGAGGTATCGGATATCGCGAAAATAGCAAAACCACTTTGGAATTACACCAATAACCTGGTAGAGACAACTTGACCTAATTACATATCTACAACGATCCACAATAAAGTCACAGTTAGGATCCAGTTTGGAGAATTTCAGACCAAAAAGAAAAGGAAGGTAAATAAATATATATATATATATATTTATCTATTTATAGGAAAGAAAATTCTTTTTCAAGTAACAGTGAAGTTTTTGTAAAGGAGTCCTACTACAATATGGAAGGGGCCTGTAGTAAAAAGGAAACAAATGGAATATAGAAAGTATTTCCTTGGTCCACCACGTACCCAGAAATAGGGGGCAACTGATAGGGAAAAATAACCCTAACCTATCTTGACTTAACAAAAAAGGGAATTAAATATTGACCTGCCACCAGATTTCTCCAACTCTCAGACGATAATATCTCGTTATTAAGGATAACCATTCTATTAGATAAGAATGATGACAAATCGTATCTAGGATAGGATTTGTCATAGGATAAGTTCAAATCTTATCAAGGATAGGATTTCCATGAGGTAGGCTCCATAGGCTAAGGACGATGAAACTCCCTTATCAAGAATAAGGGAAGTGATTATAAAGACCAAGACGACTCGGGGATAAGGTACACACAAAAAAAACTCCTACTAAGCAAATTACGATTAAAATTCTCTATCGAGAATCCTTGCTAACTTGATCGTCGGAGGGTCAACGGCCGGCACCACACCGGTGTTTGACTTTGCCATCCTTATTTTGCAGGAAACGGTGTCGTACTAGACCGCGGCGAAATTCAACCTCAACATATATATATATATATATATATATATATATATATATGACTAATACTATGGAATTCAATCTTCCTCTTCGCTCTCACTTAGAACGTCATACTTAGAAAAGTCTATGTCTGGACGATCTTTGCCGACAAGAGCTTTGACCGGTCAAAACCATCACAGCAAGCCTTGCCTATGAGCACCTTGAATTCATCAGAATTTTTAAAACTCTCCACGGCAGCTAGCTTCTCGAATTCCAGCTTATCAGAGTATTCTTTGGTAAGTTTCACTTTTTCATCTTGAAAGTTTAATTTTGCATTAGTCAAGTCAACTTCTTTTATTTTAAGTATAGAAGTAACATCTTCATATTTAGCCTTGAGGGAAGCCATCTCTAAGGAAAGCTTCTCGTATTCTTTGGCGATAACAACAGAGTATGTAGTGCCCTATAAATAAATAAATAGTGGCGAACAGTTAAAAATAAATAAATAAATAAACGAAAAAAAAGAGTTGCGCATAATAAGGGTAAAATCTCACCTGGCTGATTAGATGAAGAAATTTCTTTGAAAGCTCAGATGCTGGCAGACTCTGCAATCTGGCAGTGTCGTCTTTTACTACCATTTTATGTAACCTGTCATTCGCGACATTAGCGTCATCGAGAATCGATTCCCCGTGGGAAAAGGCTTGGTTGGTTGATACTGAACAAAAACTTTCGAAACTAGTAGGAACCCCACCAAATCCGCTGAAACCTAGAGGTACAAGAGTAGGACCTGATAACACTCCAGGGCTTGCGGATGTACCATGATTCCCTTCTCCTACCCTTCGTAATTTTTTGGAAGCAGGAGTAGAAGGGAGATTACTTGACCGGACTTGGGCTAGGAGTCTTTTACTGAGCTTCTTGCCTGCATAAAAAGTGATAAGGGAAATACTTAATGAGATATTAACTAAAAATCAATATGTTCACATATAAGTATGTTTGTTTTTCTTACCTTTCTCTAAGTGGGTGGAGGTTTCCTTTGAGCTATGAGCTCGTACATACAAATCTAAAGCCTCGTCAGTTATAAGATCGCTAAAGGTCTTTACTGGGTAAGAAGAGGCATTACCAACATGCTCGGCTTCTGGAATGGAGAGGGTTGGTTTGTCTTTAAATTCTGGAAAAAAGAATAATAAGTTGCACCTAAAAAAAAAAAAAATCCTATTCATGTACAGTACCCGAGGGTACTATTCTCTTGGGTGCAAAAAAAAAAAAAAAAAAAAAAAAAAAAAAAAAAAAAAAATTATTCATGAACAGTACCCGAGGGTACTATTCCCTCGGGTGCAAAAAAAAAAAATCCTATTCATGAATAGTACCCGCGGTACTGTTCATGAACAGTACCCGAGGGAACAGTTCCCTCGGGTACAAAATAAATAAATAAATAAATAATTTGGAAACTATATACATATAAATCTTACCTGTTGGATCTGAATTATTCCAAATAGTTGGAAATTTCCCGTATGCACCGGAAATAAAGAAGAAACGACTCTTCCAACCTTTATTATTTTCAGGGGTTGCAACAAGGAGGAATGTCTTCTTTGATCTACACTGGAAGTACCAAAAATTGTCTTTTTTCTTCTTGGGATAATAAAAATGCAGGAATTGATTTACTGTTAGACGGCCATTGCCACACTTTCCCCAAACAATCAAACAGCCTATAATAATTCTCCATGAATTAGGAGCAATTTGAGAAGGAGCTATCTTCAGATGAGAAAGAATTTCTTCTACAAATGGATGAATCGGAAAACGCAAGCCCGCAGCAAAAGTCGACTGGAAAAAACATACCTCACCCAAACGAATAGAAGAACATCTATCTTCTGGTTTGGGTTTGTGAAGACGAATAGATGAAGGAATGGAATATTTAACTCTACAACTCTGTAAAGTCTCATCCTTCATTAAGGATTCTCTTTCACGAGGAGGTTGCTTGGAAAAAGCAGTCCTTGGTCTTGAGGAGTAATCAACACCAGATTCATCAGCATAGTCAGGATCGAGTTCTTCAACACTTTCAGAGGTTGAGTCCTCGGATTGAGATTCAGTATTCAAGTTATTTTTCTGCACGAACATGATGAGGTATCGGATATCGCGAAAATAGCGAAACCACTTTGGAATTACACCAATAACTTGGTAGAGACAACTTGACCTAATTACGTATCTACAACGATCCACAATAAACTCACAGTTAGGATCCAGTTTAGAGAATTTCAGACCAAAAAGAAAAGGAAGGTAAATAAATAAATATATATATTTATCTATTTATAGGAAAGAAAATTCTTTTTCAAGTAACAGTGAAGTTCTTGTAAATGAATCCTACTACAATATAGAAGGGGCCTGTAGTAAAAAGGAAACAAATGGAATATAGAAAGTATTTCCTTGGTCCACCACGTACCCAGAAATAGGGGGCAACTGATAGGGAAAAATAACCCTAGCCTATCTTGACTTAACAAAAAAGGGAATTAAATATTGACCTGCCACCAGATTTCTCCAACTCTCAGACGATAATATCTCGTTATTAAGGATAACCATTCTATTAGATAAGAATAATGACAAATCGTATCTAGGATAGGATTTGTCATGGGATAAGTTCAAATCTTATCAAGGATAGGATTTCCACGATGTAGGCTCCATGGGCTAAGGACGATGAAACTCCCTTATCAAGAATAAGGGAAGTGACTATAAAGACAAAGACGACTCAGGGATAAGGTACACACAAAAAAAACTCCTACTAAGCAAATTACGATTAAAATTCTCTATCGAGAATCCTTGCTAACTTGATCGTCGGAGGGTCAACGGCCGGCACCACACCGGTGTTTGACTTTGCCATCCTTATTTTGCAGGAAACGGTGTCGTACTAGACCGCGGCGAAATTCAACCTCAACACAAAGTATTTTTGAATTTTTGAAATGTTGAAAAGTCAAATTAAAGTCAAAATCGTGAAATGAAAGAAATGTGATCGATCAAAACAAGCCTTCGATCGATCAGACATAGGTCATAATATACAGGTTCTTGGTTCAAAAATTGGCTAAGTGCTGGAACTTGAGATCGATCCAACCATAATATTGGATCGATCGAAGATTTTCAGATTGATCGAAGAATTTTAGATCGATCTTGAATTGAATTCGAACGATGGGACAGAGAGCTGAAATATGCAGGTTTATGCAGGCTCAAAATTTTTTTAAGTGTTGAGTCCTGAGATCGATCGAACCTAGAAGTTGGATCGATCGAAGATATCTGATTGATCTAAGAATGAGTTCGAACGATGGGACCGAGAGCTGATTTTGGATGCAGGTCGAAAAATTTTCTAAGTGTTGAGTGCAATCCACAGTTCGATCGATCGAACTCCAATGTGAGATCGATCGAACTTTGCCAAATGCTCAATTATGACATAAAAGCTTATGCAATCCTCACCAAAGTTCCTTTCAATGCATGTGAACCTAAAACAAGTATCTAGACTTCGCAAGAAACAAAATGAAAGATAGAAATGGGGGAGGAATAGGGTTTTGACACCCTACGAATGTCTTTTTGCTAGTTTTTAACGTCTCTATCAAGACATTGGGCTCTTTTAGCCCGGATCAAAAATCTTGTAATGCATCCCCTCCTTGTTGGGGTGATAGATGCTTTGAACTCCACCCAACAAATGGTCATTTGAAGAACTTGTTGGATCAAGCTCAAAAGAAGCTTTTGATCCTTTGTCTATGCAATTAAAACCTTTGGGCTTCCATGCCCTTTCAAAGCAAGAATTTGGAACAACACTTTGAGAATGCAAGGTTGAAGATGATCATTTTGAAGTTTTGGTTTTACACAAAAACTCATTTCCTTGGCATTGAAGATCATGACATTTTTCTACAACATTAACCTCTCCTTCATACTTGTCAAGTGAATTGGGTGTGGGATTAAAGATATTCAACTTTACCTTCATGTGGCCAAATGAAATCTTCATCACCCCCGTCCTACAATTGATGTTGGCATTGGCAGTTGCCAAGAAAGGACGGCCAAGGATAACGGGAATTTGGCTCTTAAGATTGGAAACCGGTTCCGTGTCAATGATAATGAAATCAACCGGGAAGAAGAATTTATCAATCTTGATCAAAACATCCTCAATGACACCCCTAGGTTTCTTAATGGATCGGTCGGCAAGTTGCAAAACTACCGACGTCGGTTTCAATTCACCTAGGCCCAATTTAACATAGACTGAATAAGGAAGAAGGTTAACACTTGCTCCTAAGTCAAGAAGTGCCCGATTAATGATATGATCACCAATGATGCATGATGTAGTGGGCGAACCGGGGTTCTTAAACTTTGGAAGAGTGTTATGCTGCAAAATTGAGCTTACTTGCTCGGTCAAAACTACTTTTTTTGGTGCTTGGCTCTTGTTCTTCTGCTTTTAGGTGTATAAGTCTTTCAAGAATTTGATATAAGCCGGAATTTGCTTGATTGCATCCAAAAGTGGAAGATTAACTTTCACTTGCCTAAATATTTCCATGATTTCATTGGTTTTTGCCTTTTGCTTGTTTTTTAAAATGGACCCTTTTAAGGCATCCGGAAATGAAATTTTTGGTTCAAACACTTTTTCAAAATTTTCTTTTGAACTCTCTTCAACACAAGAAGTTTTCGAATCATTTTGTTCCAAATCATTTTTCAACAAAACTTGTTTCTCAACATCATTTTTCAAGACTTCTTTTTCAAACACATTTTTTAAAACTTTCTCATTTGCAAGATCATGTGTATGCAATGAATGAGGAATGGGATGTGAAACGGGATGGGTGGCAACTTGAGGTTGCATCGGTTCACTCTCTTCATTGGACATTTCAACTTGATTGTCCACAACTCTACCACTCCGCAAAGTAGTCACCGCATTAACATGTTCAATGGTATGCCCTTCCGATGAGGAATGGGTTTCCACAACACATTGTTGTTTAAGTGGTGCATTAATAGGCATCTTTCCCTTCTCTCTTGTATTAAAAGTGCTTGCTATTTGCCCTACTTGGGTTTCTAGCTTAGCAATGGATTGAGAGTGAGAATGAAGTAATTGTGTGTTTGCCTCAAAAGTCCCCAAAGCATTTAAAACTTTTTCTTCAAATGCGGGACTTCTAGTGTTTCCTTGGGAATAAGATTGGTTGGAAAAATGAGAATTAGCAAATTGATTCCCTTGTGATTGATAAGGTCTATAGCCTTGGGATCCTTGGTTTTGAAGTGGAAGTGGAATGTATTTCCCTTGGAAACCGCCTTGAGAAGGGTTTGAGCCTTCTCCTTGGTTTTTCCAAGAGAAATTCGGATGATTCCTCTAACTTGGATTGTAATGAGTACCATAAGGATTGTTCCCTTGGTTCACAAAAGTTGAATTGACTTGTTCATTAGGTTCATTTTGTACTTGTCCATGAGGACAATGAGAAGTAGAATGAAGAACACTAGAACAAGTCATACAAGTTTCATTTGATACATGATGAGAATGGTTAGGAAAGGAAGATACTTGGTTCGCCGAGTTTTAGTTAATCAAGAATTGATCAACCCTTTGAGCTAAAGACTTCACTTCGGCGGCTATTTCATTTGAATGGTCGACTTGATGTAAGCCAACATTCTTCCTACATTGTGAATTTCTACCATTCTTGGATGATAATGTTCTATGCAAAGAATTTTCACTCATGCTTTCATAAAGATGCCATACGTCATCCTCATGCCTATCAATGTAAGAGCCACCCATGGAAGCATCAAGCATACCCTTATAGTTGTCCGATAAGCTCTCAAAGAAATATTGAACTAATTGCCATTTGGGCATGCCATGATGTGGACACTTCCTAAGCAATTCATTGAAGCGTTCACATGCCTCATGAAATGTTTCTCCATCCCCATGTGAAAATTTTCGAATTGAGGTTCTCATGGCATTGGTCTTAGAACCGGATAATACTTCTTTAAAAACTCTTGTTGCATCTCCGCCCAAGAAGTGATTGAAAAAGGCCTAAGATTGTTAAACCGATATTTTGCTTTGTCCTTTAAGGTGAATGGAAAAAGTTTGAGTCTTAAGACCTCTTTCGGCATGTCCGTATATTTTACGGTGGAACATACTTCAAGAAACTCATCCAAATGCTTGTAAGGTTCTTCACTAGGAAGTCTATGAAAGTTAGGAAGCATTTGAATAGTTTGTGCTTTAATTTCATAATGATGTGCTCTAAATGGTGGCAATTGAATGCATGTGGGTGCATTGTATTCATTAGGCACATAATGATCTCTCAAAGCAAAAGGTAGATTAGCTACTTGAAGTGTAACATGAACACCTTGGTTTTGAATTCCTTGATTAATGATGGGAGGTTGTGGAGCATATATTGGCCTTGGCATTCCTTATGGAACTTGGCCTTATTGTTGTGGTGGTTGGATGAATGGCCTAGGCATGCCTAATGGTACTTGCATGTTTTCATTGTGCACATTGGGATGAAGGATACCTTGTTGGTCTATGTGACCAAGGTCCTCAATATGGTCATCATTATGGTCATCCATTGATAGATTGGTTCTATTTGAACTTCATCTTCCCCTAGAATTTCTAATTATGGATTCAAGATGCAAATCAAGAGGGACAAGAGTTGGTCTCAATGAACGACGTCCATGCATGCACAATGCAAAACAACAAACACAAAGAATGACATACACTTTACCTTCACAACAATGCAAAGAAACTCTCTCCACAAACACTTAACCCATATTCCTATGCTTTAACAAAGATGATGCAAAGAACAATAAAATAGCCTCCACGCGGGCTCACGATTTATCTAAGAATTGAATTACAAGCCTCCACGTGGGCCGACGATTTAACTAAGGGATTGAGTAAAGAAAGTCTCACAAAGGTCTTTAAGCACTTCAACTCCAAATTTAAAGCTTAGCTTAGCAATTTTTTTTTTAAGTTTTTAGCATTTTTCCTTTCTTTGCTTAGTTCCTTTACTTGGATGCTCCTTTACTTGCCTCTTGCTCAATGCACCTTATCAAATATGAACAAACACAATAAATAACTAAAAGAAAAATAAAAACAAAGTAAAGATATGATCAAAAGAATACTAATTCCTAATCGATTCCATAACTACGACATTACCTAATCCCCGGCAACGGCGCCAAAAACTTGCTGGTCCTTTTTTAGGTCGCGGTGACCACAAGCTTGGAGAAGCGTGCAATTTAGGCAAGGGCCAAGTTTTACATTTATAAAAGCCACTACTACCTTTCACTATAAATATAGCTAGGGCGAGTAGGGATCGTCCCAAGGGATTGGAGTCGGAGTTGATTGTGGAATTGCTATTAGGGTTAGTAAGTCGAGTGATCAAACAATTGATTGGTTGGTTAATTAGATTAAAGAGCAACTAAATTAAACTAAGTAATTGAATGCAATGAAGAGTAAGTAAGAGAGAGAAGAGTCTTGAGGTTTAGAGATCACCACCAAGCAATGCATTCCTATATTATTGACAAGTGACTAACGAGGGCAATTAGGGTGTTGCAATATTGGTGTGTGTGTGTTTGGTTGATTCAACAAGTAAGGATGACTATTTAAGCATGTATTGTCTAAACATCATGTGAAAGGCACAATATATCTAAGCGATGAAGCATATATTGTCTAAACAACATGTGGAAGGCACAATAAATCAAAATAAGTCATTCATCCTTTCATTAGGCTCACAATCCAAATACAACACAAGATTAGAGACATATGCTACTTGTATTCAAAAGCTTGGAACATCAAACAACAAACATGGATTGTCCTCCCATTTAACACTACACTACATCTAAACTACTAGCATGAAAGTAAACTAGGGAAGAGGCACTGAAGATACAAGATTTCGTTTCTTCTCTCTCTCCCTCTCTCTCTCTCTCTAGCATTCTCCTCTCACTTTCCACCTGTCATGGTCTATTTATAGGCCATCACCCTTATTGCTGTTAACCAATTACATTGGGCCTATATTCGAAAGCTCTCTTCCTTCTGGGCTTGGTCTTCCAATGGGCTTGACCTTCCTCGGTGGATCCCCCAGGTTCGGCCCATTCCAGGGCGCTTTGGCATGGATCCCACTTCAATCATTCGACCTGATCTCGTTCCTGCGAACCATATCCGGCCCATGCCACTTGCCGCATCCTCAACTGCCCCCATAATTGCCCCTTATTGATTAGGGGGTAATTATTAGAGGCTGCTAATGATGACCTGACGGCTCGAGGAGATCGTGCAGGAGAATGGACGGTTAGATCTAGGTGTCGGCGCTTCGAGATTCAAAAAGACAACCCATCGCTTTCCTGACTCCTCGGCCCTTGGGCTCATCTCGTCTTTATAAGCTCCATTGATTCTCCATCGATCCTCTTTACCGTCTCTATCTCACCTTTTGCTGTTTGAATCCTCTCCGGCGATCTCTTGCGAAAGATCTTCCTTCCAGTGGCTTTGCAATACTTTCTGCCGTTTGCACTCTCTAAGGTTAGTTTCATTTGCATTTTTCTTTTGGAAGACTTCTTTCTCCTCCTCGGAATCCTCATCCACTCTCACCATGAAAGTAGATCTAGACGTTCTTCGCATGAAACTTCACCTTCCTGACGATGTAGAAATTAGAAACTGCCCCCGAGAAGTGAATATTAGAACCGGTGCTGGCTTTCTTCCCGACGAGGCCCTATTTTCACTCCTCCATCTCAATCTCCTTAGATTTCCTTTACATCCTTTCTTTTACTATGTTTTTAACAAGCTAAATCTTTCCCCTTTGCAAGTAAACCCCAATTTCCTTAGGATTTTATCTGTTATGCTACTCCTGATTCGTGACAGAGGTCTGGATCTGGACCTCGTAGATCTTCTCCTCTGTTACAAGGTCAGCAAGATCAGAACTGACGAACCGTTTTACCACTTTTTCCCCATTGAGAAGAGGTCCATCTGCACGGATAAGATCAAATCCGAGAAGGGTTGGAGGAAAAACATTATTGGGGTTAGGGGAGCCTGGTTCTCTCCAGCTGCGGAGGATTTCCCTATCCCGAACGCTTTCGGAGAGTGCTCTGTCTCTTTTTACAAGAAATATAAAAACCATAAGAGTGACTGTCCTTGCGAGATTTGCATTCCTCGTTTTTATATTTTCTTGTGCCATTCCTTAGGCATTCCTTGTGATGACTTGAGCTACAGTGTGTGCAGGGATAGGGATAACTACTTGAAGCGGTACGTTTTGACCAACGTTCCCTCTTGCTCGGACCTTCTCACCTCAAATAATCTCCTCGATATCTCAGTCCTCGGCAAGACAATGAGCTAACTCCAGATCCCTTCATTCGGCAGGAAGAAAACTGCCCCCAGGCCTGCTATCACCCTTGCATCAAATTCCTCACCGGCTTCAGCATCTTCCTCCGCTACCCTTTCTGATACCACTCCTTCCACCGATCCATCCGCGACGGCTGCTGACTCGGTCGCTAACACAACGACTGCCAGTCTGAACGTTACCTCTTCTGTCAACAATCCTTTTGGTTCTACTATTGCTTCCGCACGGGAAAAGGCCAGAGGAAAAAGGCATCAACCTGATAGTGCCCTCAGCATGGATGACGTTCCCTTGTCTCAGAGGGTTAGGCCCTCTAGGCCGAATGTGATATCCCTGGCGAGACCTCCTCAAGCTAGGCCCCCCACCCCTTCTGGGCATGCCTCCGCTTCAGGAACGGCGCCATGGAGCCCTCGCTTCATTCGAACAGACGGATCGTCTGTGAAACCGACCGAGACCATGTTCAAGGATGGTCAGACCGCAATGGCTTACTACAGGAGTATGTGGACTCCCAAGGACATCAAGGTAGCCAAAGGTCTGTCTCAGAGGAAGGTGTTCAGCCGATTTCCCTTGTCTGCCATGGAGGTAACTTCTACCACTTAGTCAATAAATCTTTACATACTCTTGACACTTATTTTCTTCTAACCATCTGTTCGGCTTAACCAGTTGTCCTGTATATCTCTACAGACCTCGTACGGGATGATGGCTATGCAGAAACAAGTTGAGCATGTGAATGCCAAGGTCCGCGCGCTTTCTGACAGCCTTAATGCAGCGAACAAGGAAAACGATGATTTAGCTGCTCAGAAGACCGAGGTGATGGTTCAGCTTGGTAAAATTGAAAAAGAGAGGGATTCGCTGAGAAGGGAGACTGACTCTCTTCAAGATGAGAGGAATGCTCTGCAGCTTGAAAAGAGCGTCTGGCAGATCGAGCGGGAATCCCTTAAGGCCGAGAAGGAAGAACTGCTACGCCTTTTGAGTGATGAGCAATCCGCTCGGATGGCCTTTGAGAAAAGGGCCTTGGACGAGCGCAACGCTTTGCTTGATACCATCAGCATGGTAAATGGTGGTATGCTAGCTCTGCATGCTCGGTTCTCTAGAGTTGGAGCCCTCAGATATGCTCAGGGGTTCCGAGAAGGATACGCCGATCGCGTCCCGGATGAGGGTTAGACTGGCTCTACCCCTGATGATGTTGATAAAGACCTGGATATTGACCCTCCTGGTGTTTATACCGATCCAGACTCCACCGCTGCTGAGGGCATATTTGATGAATGTCAGGAGATTGCGTCTTCTCGGATTACTCCTACTCCTCCTGCTGCTCTGACTTTGGACATTCTTCCTCTGTCCACTTTGATTCCATCTGTTGTTACTGTTGAAGATAACCCTCAGCAGAATGATTCTTCCAACGTTGTTAAGGGTAGGACTCAACAGAACGATTCTGTCATTCACCTCGATTCCCCACCCCGTGAGGACGGCGACACCACCAATAATGAGGAGGTAGCCCAACATCATCAAGAGGCCGACGAGGCAAACGCCTCTTAGTTAGAACTTTTTTTTTTTTTTTAAATGTACTGACTTTGGTATATTCGCCATCTTTACACCTCATCTTTTGTAACCCTCTGAACCTTATTAATGAGATGGCCGACTTCTGATCAAACTTTTTTTGTAAACTTCCTTTTTTTTTTTTTTTTTTTTTTTTTTTTTTTTTTTTTTCTTTTACAAGTGTTTGGCGTTCAGCTCATTGTGCCAACTGCCACTTACTTTGCTCAGGCGCTTGGCGTTTGGCTAGAATACCACTTGCCACTTGGCCCTCTAATTTTTCTTTAGCAAGTGTTTGGCGTTCGGCTCATAGTGCCAGCTGCCACTTACTTTGCTTAGGTGTCTGGCGCTCGGCTAGAATGCCACTTGCCACTTAGCCCACTATTTTTCTTAGCAAGTGTTTGGCATTCGGCTCATAGTGCCAGCTGCCACTTACTTTGCTTAGGTGCCTGGCGCTCGGCTGGAATGCCACTTGCCACTTGGCCCACTATTTTTCTTAGCAAGTGTTTGGCGTTCGGCTCATAGTGCCAGTTGCCACTTACTTTGCTTAGGATTTTAAAGAGGAATGCAATCTTTACAAATTTCAGAAACTTATACATTCAACTGTTTTCAATTTAAAATAAACAAAATTCAGTACTGAATCTCAACTTTTTATTGATAATACCTCTTTAGAGAAGTAGCATTCCAAGGCTTGTTAACCAGCCTTCCGGCCATGGTTTCTAAGGTATATGCGCCTTTTCCTATGGCCTCTGCAATTCTGTATGGGCCTTCCCATGGTGGCATCATATTTTTGACTATCCCTACCTTCTTTTTCAGAACCAGGTCACCTAGCCTAAAGTCTCTGTGCTTTACTTTCCTGTTATGGCTGTTCGCAAGCGTCTGCTGGTAAGATGCGAGCCTTACCGCTGCTGCGTCTCTTTTTTCTTCCAGCAAATCGAGGTTAAACCTTAGCATACTGTCATTATGCTCACGGTTCCATGCCAAGCTTCGAACAGTCGGAACTAAGTGCTCGACTGGTATAACTGCCTCGGTTCCATACGCCATTGTGAATGGGCTTTCTCCGGTCGGTCGTCTAGGGGTCGTTCTGTAGGCCCATAAGACGTTCGGCAGTTCATCTAACCACCTTCCTTTCCTTTCCTCTAGTTTCTTCTTGATACAAGTAAAGATTGTTCTGTTTGTAATTTTCGCTTGTCCATTGGCCTGTGGGTGACTTACTGCTGCCAGCTTTTGATTAATTCCATACTCCTCCAACAGCTCTCTTACTTGCTTACTGTCAAGGTTGGTACCATTATCCATGACGATTGACCTCGGAACACCAAACCGGCAAATAATATTACTCCAAATGAATCGTCTCATATGAGTTTGAGTAACACTCGGATATGGCTCTGCTTCCACCCACTTAGTAAAGTAGTCTGTAGCCAGTAACACATACTTGTTCTGAGCTCTGCCAGTTGGTAGAGGACCAACTACATCCATCCCCCATTGTGCGAAAGGCCATGGTGTGGCCATTACATGCAAGTCTTCAGGCGGTTGGTGAATCAGTGGTCCGAACCTTTGGCACTTATCGCACCTTCTGGACAATTCTTCCGAATCTTGCGACATGTTTGGCCAGAAGTACCCTTGAGCCATTGCTTTGTGTGCTAATGATCTCCCCTCTGAGTGGTTTCCACATACGTCTTCATGAATAGCTCATAATATTTGCCGAGCCTCTGTGGGGGTAACACACTTTAAGTACGGTCTGGAAAAAGATCTTCTGTATAACTGGTTATGCACTACGGCGTACTTTGCAGCATTCGCTTTGATTTTCCTGGCCTCATCTTTTTGTTCAAGCAGAGTACCGTCTCGGATATAAGTTATGATCGGATCAATCCAACTTGGTTCATATGGAATAACATTCACTTGCTAAGGATCCGAGCCTGAAGGTTCTTCGAAAATGGATGGTTGGTTTAATATTCCCACTGGAACCACCCTTGCCAATGTTTCTCCAGAACCCGAGGCGCTACATGCTAGCCTGTCGGCATCTTCGTTATACTCCCTTGGAATTTGAATGAATTCAATTTTTTCAAAGTTCTTCGCTTCCCGCATAACAGCAGAACGATATGCTTCCATCGTTTCGTCCTTGGTTTCATACTCACCCCTCACCTGCCGAACGACTAACTGTGAGTCACTAAAAACATTCAAATTCCTGACCTTAAGTTCTTTGGCAAGCTTTATTCCTGCCAGCAACGCTTCATACTCTGCCTTATTGTTCATGGCTGCGAATTCAAGCCGAAGCGCTTGGCTTAAGGTTGTACCTTCTGGCGTCTGCAATTTGATCCCAATGCTTGCACCCATCTGATTTGAGGATCCATCAACGAAGAGTTTCCATAAGCACTTACAAAGATCCTCCTCCACGTCCTCTGAATCACATTCTAGTAAAAAATCTGCCACCGCCTGCCCTTTAACTGCTGTTCTAGGTTCGTATGTGATATCAAATGAGCTTAACTCTATGGCCCACTTCATCATTCTTCCGGATAGATCCAGTTTGTGCAGGATTATTCTGATAGGGAAAGTGGTTAGAACGATAATAGGATGGGATTCAAAATAATGCCTGAGCTTTCTTTTCACATGCACTAGCGAGAGTATCACCCGCTCTGCCTTTGAATAACGTCTTTCAGCCTCAGTCATTGTCTTGCTAACATAGAACACTGAATATTGCTTCCCTTCTGCGTAGCGGACCAGAACGCCA